CAGGATATCTTTTGCAATTCACTTCGGCCATCCTGCTGCTTCCTCCCGGCCCACGCGCCCTCGTCTTTCACAAGTCAATGACCGCGCGGACCAGGTGGTGAAACGCTTATCCAGTACTAGGCGTTTGGGTTGCAGCGCCAAAGCGCCACGCATAGGCTTTTCGATCACACCATATTCTCGCTCTGTCGAAGAATGCGTGACCCCAAGCGAAGAGGAGCCGCGTCTTTCAGATCTCTTGTGACGGATGAGCTTAATGCGGGAATGTCTATGATGTGGGCCAGACTGTGACATGAACAGGTGCTTGCTGCCAGGGGAACATGCATGAAGAGCGATGAACAGAAGTAGGCGTTATGCTCGTCAATGAGAGCAGTATTGAAAGACGAAGCTGACCTGTGGGCGGATATCATGCAGTCAGCCGCTGGCCAATGCTGCATCTCGGTGAGGTACACGCACCTCGTCACCTTGGGTCTTTTCGGCTCGCAGTAGATCATCATGGACGTTGTGCAGCTCATCCTTGGTGTAGTGATTCCACCTGCGAAAGCGAGGCAAACAAGTGGTGCTTCAGCAAGATCTTCATGTCTGGATGCAAACGAAGTAGCACAACTCACGTGGCGGCGTCACCATACAGCATGGCGTGAGCTTTGATCGTCTGCTTGCCATTGCGACAGCGTTTGCACTTGTAAGTGTCGTGCGTGTCGCAATGGGTGTGCTCGTTGAACTTGAAGAGCGCGCGCAAATCCTCCGAGGAAAAATGGCGCTCAATCTCTACGCCTTCTTGCGCGTCGAGCATGCAGGACGACAGCGACATTTTGTGAGACTGTCTTTGAAGAATCTTCTCTTCGATGGAGCCCGTCGCTATGAATCGGTACACGAAGCACGTCTTCTTCTGTCCATCTCGCCAAATACGAGCCAGCGCCTGCTGGTCGGATGCGGGGTTCCAGTCGGGATCGAAGAGCACCAAGCGATTGGCTCCGATCAGATTGATGCCGCACCCACCAGCCTTGGAGCTGAGGAGGAAGATGAACTCCGGCGCTTCCGGATCGTTGAAGCTGTCAACGAACTTTTGACGCTTCTTGATCGCCATGGTCCCATCTAGCCTAAAGCAGCCCCACCTGTTCAGGCGACACATCTTCTCGAAAATGTCTAGAGTCTGCGTGAAGTTTGAAATCAACACCACCTTGTCTTTGCTAGTCTGACGCATCGTCGTCAAGAATCGCTCCAAGACCATCATCTTGCCGCTGAGCTCAGTGTGCACGTCCCGCCGATCATGAGGCGTATATCCTTCTGGAAAGTACTTTTCGCTTCCTACCAAGTCATTCGACAAGTCCACAAGGTCGGGATGATTGCATAATTTGCGCAAGATTGAGATGGCTTTGAGGGGTTGCGAGCCTTTGCCACGGAGCAAGCTTTGAATTTCTGGCGACTTGCAAAACAGCTGGTAGAGCTTGAGCTGGAAATCCGAGACCTTGCAAAAGACGACGTGCTCGTACTTGATGGGCACTGAAACATCAGAGCGAGGCCAGATCGGGTGAGTGACGGAGCACAATGCAGCGCTAACTTGAGCTTGATCCGACTCACAATACTTCGAAAGCAGGTCATTTGTTCGGCGAATGATAAACTTGCTTACTATGCCCGTGAGCTCGGCAAGCTTCGCATCTCCGACTTGACGTTCTTGCTCAGACGCTGCCGCATCGCGGCCTTTGATGATAGGCATCTCAAAGTGACGACGGAATTCGAGGCGGCCTCCCAACAGGTCGGGGTTGGCGAACTTGACGAGAGAAAAGTACTCCGTCAAGTCGTTCTGAGCCGTTCAAAGAGTGTGAAAGATTAGCTTCGATCCGCGCCGCCCGCATGTACGTGGCGTATGTGAGACCCACCTGTACCGGTGTTCCTGTCAGAATCACCCGTCGCTTGACCGGAATCTTGTCGAGCTCTTGATACGTCAGACTTTCCGCGTTCTTCAGGCGGTGCCCTTCGTCGGCAAGAAGAAGTCCCACATTGCAATTTGCAAGCTCGTCGGAGATGTTGCGTAGCGTCTCGTACGAGACAATCATGACTGCCAGAAAGACAGAAACACATGATGTCAGCTTTTGACCAAGGCGCCCGCAGAGACAGAATGAGACTCACCGGGTTGGACGATTGAACGACCCTTGGCGTCCGCCCAGCGACGGACAGCCGCAATCATCTCTTCGCGCGAGAGGGCTCCATCCAAAGCAAAGGCTCCCGGCGCTGAAGCTCCGAGCCACTTGACCAGCTCATTTGCCCAGTTACGCACTAGACTGGATGGGCATGCGATGATCGCCTTCTCGATAGTAGGCTTGTTTGCGATTGGAGACTGCTTGAGAAGCGTCCACATGAGCGTGATGCATTGCAGCGTCTTGCCCAGACCCATCTCGTCGGCCATGATTGAGCCTTGCGCATGTTCGTCTACCAGCGACGTCGCGCAGCGATACAAGAACTTGACTCCTTCGATTTGATGTGGTCGAAGCACCTTGCCAAGACGCGGATCGATCACGACAGCCACCTTGACAGCTACTTTCTTCACTTCCTTGCGCAGGCCCAGTATGTCCGCGAGTTTTTTGTGAGGGGTGGGACCTGCTGCTTTCTCCTCAAGTTGACCTGCTGCCTCTGTCTTGGCCAGCGACTCTGCCGCTAGCCGTTCCCTTCTCAGTCTTTCCTTTTCTCGCTCTGCCTCAGGATCATCGATGGTGGGGTCGAAGAGCACGATCGCATGCTCCGCCATTGGGTCGTGCAAGGGTCGAGGTGGGATTTCGATCGCCTTTCTAGTACCCAAGGAGATGCCCGTCAATCTCGTCTCGATGAGTTCGCCATTCTTATTGCGCATGACTGGGATATTGAAAGCTTGCTTCATCGCTCCTTCTTTTGGCTTGAACACGTCCCACTTTCGATTGTCTACATTCAAAGAAACGCCTCTAGCGTCTATGCCTTTGTATACGCCTTCCAAGGATGTCATCTTTCCGTTCTTTCCAAACACGCCTGGCTTGCCTTTGGGCTTGCGCTCGTCATCTGACGCTGCATCCAAGGTAGCCTCGCCATCACCATCTTCCTCTCCGCCCATACCAGCATAGTTGACGCGCTGTCTCTTCCGTCTTCCAATCACCTCTCCATCTGATCCCTGCTTGGCGCTGGCGGATGTTGGTGCCTTGAATGGCTTGCGACCCAAAAGTGGACCAAAACCGCCACCGGTTGCGGTGCGAGCCGTCAGCGCAGAAGAAGTGTAGCCCTTCTTGGGCGCAGCAACAGGATGGCTCGAACTAGACGATGATCCTTCGACTGAGCTTGATCTCCCGCGTTCTTCAGCTAGAGCAGCTAGGACGATGCTGCGGCGCATATTGGGCGGTGTGGATGTATGTATGCGTCTGGATGGAGAAGGGCCGTTCTGAGACGGAGGCCACTCTTGGGCGTCGGAATCCAAAAAGCTGACTGCTGAAGGTCAAACGGCAATCTGCTGATGTCCGTCTGGTGAGACGAGAGGATAGGCGTTACAGGTGGGAACCACACGCGGAGGACGTGGAGGTGGTGAAGAGAGAAAGGCTTCGTGCAGCGTTGCCAGGAGCACCTCTGCTGACTACGCGGCAGCTGCAGCTTTAGCAGGTGTTGAACAGTATCCCGCCGTAGTCGCGCCCGGCAGTCACCACAAATGCACAAAGGCCATCAGGCGCGCGCGCAGCCACGCGCCACCAACGCGCGGCACGCGTCAAGTCACGCGCTTCACCGCGCGTAAAGTGGAGGGAGTGACTTTGCTGCGTGATGTCGGTCGGATGCCGCTGCGAGAGGCGCACGAATCCTGATGAATGTGAATCCGCACTCACCTTTCACATTCGAATCCGGAGCTGCATCCAAGCCGCAGATACAGTAAGCGCCAACATCGCGATGTCGTGTACGGCTTCTAGTCCGCCCTACCATCCACGACTGACTCTCTTGACACCAAATTCATCTCAACATTGGTCACATTCCATCCTACCATGGGTGAGTCTCAAGGGGGCAGACTGCTTTTGCCGAGCTAGTCACGTCTCCGATGCTGACCTGCAGCTGCTCCAACAAAGCCAAAGCTGACGCTACAAGAACGCCTCTCGCGCCCGCCGGCTCCTTCGCAGGTCTCTCCTTATGGTTCGTGCCATCCTCATCGCAGGCCACAACGCTCTCGTCTCTTCAGCAACATCTATCATCCCTGCCCGGTCCTCGCACCAGCGCTCCCTTTGAACCTCACGTCACGCTCCTTTCGGGTGTGGGTCAACAGGCAGACGATGCTGACTCGGTGTGGGACAAATTGCAAGAGTCTATCAAAGTTACACGAAAGCATGACGACGTTGTCAACTTTACATGTCCAATCATCAATGCAGTGACTCGCGGCATGTACTTTCAGGTGCGTGGGTAGGCTACTC